AACTTGGCCCATGGTTTTTCGCGTTGATGATAAATGACATAGATATCGATGCACCGTTGTGGAAGTACGTTGATGATTCTTCCATTCTAGAAATCGTACCTAAGCATTCCTCAAGCAACCTACAGACTTTGGTAGACTCATTTGAAATTCAATGCTCAGCTAACAAATTTGTACTTAACCAAGATAAGTGCAAAGAATTACGCGTAGACTTCAGTAAGTCAACAGTGCCCTGACTCGGTTCTAGTATATGGTGAACCTATAGATCTTATCAACGAAAGTAAACTTCTTGGATTAACAATATCGAATGACCTAAAATGGAATGCCCACATCGAATCTGTTATTAAAAAGGCATCTAAGAGAATAAATACATTCCTAAAAGAGCTCAAAAAGGCAAAGATCCCGTTAAAAGACTTGATTCTTTTCTACAGCACGTGCATCCGCCCAGTCTTAGAATATGCTTCCCTAGTATTCCATTACTCCCTGCCTGATTATTTAAGCGAGGATCTAGAAAGAGTACAGAAGAGAGCGTTTAAAATAATGTTTAACGGTGCACCTTATGAAGATTGCTTATCAGAATTTAATCTGTAAACTTTGGCTGCAAGACGTCAATTCTATTCCGAAAAAACCTTTATTGACATTATGTCCAACCAATCACATCTGCTCCCAGAAAGGAACAATTACCGCAGTCTTAGGAAAAACAGACATTTTAATATTCCTAGATGTAAAACCGAACGTTTTAAAAACTCTTTTATCATTGCCAGTGCATCACGAGTTTGAACTCAAATTTTTGCTTAGTTTTAACATAGTTAATAGAGGAGATGGTTTGGAAACTCGTTAGTATTACAATAAAATCACAATAAACCTCATTATATCTATGTTGTTCAGGTTTATGCAAAAATGTGGTCTTTCATCGTCACGTGCGTATTGTATTTTTCTCAAATCAACCAATAGGAATGTTCAAAATGTCCTATTGTTAAAGTCATGGATGGGCAATTGGACAAAACCGGTGCCATTGGCTGGTTGAGCAAAACTACAATACCCACGTGACGATGAAAGACCACATTTTTGCATAAACCTGAACAAAAACATAGATAGTGAGGTTTATTGTAATGCTAATGAGTTTCCAAACCATCTCCTCTATTAACTATGGTTTTAACATAACTGTTTTCAATTGTTTTAGCATATACTTAGCATATAATGACTTGGAATTATTTTGGAATATCTTTGTAATTCAGCTTACGCTGCAAGGAAGATTTTAATAAAACACATATTATTATTATTATTTATTACATTATAACATTTCGGCACATGAAAAGTTCGACGTTTAACCCTGGCCTTAAACTCTAAACCTTAAACTCTAAGAGTGCAAAGCATAATGCGAGCATCATTTAATCAGTTAAGAATAAATTAAATCACTCGCTACGAATTGCCAAACGTATGTATTATGAAAAGCAATTAGAGCGTGTTAAGACAAACACAAAGAATACCTGGAAAATTCTTAATGAGGTAATAAACAGAAAAAAAGCTATAATCGACTTTATTGTTAACAACCGCAATATTTCCAATCCAGTTGAAATTGCATATCATTTTTGCGAATATTTTACTAATATTGGCCCTAACTTAACAAATAATATCGATAACTCATCCTGTTGTTATAAGTCATACCTTACGGACAACATGGTGAATTCCGTATTTTTCGATTTAGTTACGGACACTGAGGTAAAATAAATTATAGATGGTCTTCGTTGTGGTATTGCTTCAGGTTATGATGAGATCCCCATGTGGCTTGTAAAAGGCTCAAGCGAACTTATTTCTAGTCCCTTAAAGCATGTAATAAATATATCCATAAACTCAGGCATTGTACCAGATCAGACAAAAATTGCTCGTATTTTACCACTATTTAAATCTGGTGATAATAGAGTGTTCTCCAATTAAAGACCTGTCTCAGTTTTGCCAATCTTCTCCAAGGTGTTTGAAAAAGTTGTGTACAATCGATTATTTGATTACTTTAATAAGTCCGGTATTCTATTTCAAAATCAATTTGGTTTTAGGAAAGGCCATTCTACGTCTCTGGCTCTCCATCATCTATATGATAAAATTACTGCCGCGATAGACCAAGGAAAATTTACTGTCGGTATTTTCCTTGATCTTTCCAAAGCCTTTGACACAGTAAACCATATAGCATTTTAATGGATAAACTGGAAAATTTTGGGGTTCGTGGTTTGGTCCTTGAATGGATAAAAAGTTATTTCACAAATAGACAACAGTATGTAGAATACAAAGTTCCCAAAAAAATGTTATACATACGATGCGGTGTTCCTCAAGGATCAATTCTAGGACCATTATTTTTTTTTAATATATATCAATGATATATGTAATGTTTCAGACACTTCTTGATTTTATTCGCAGATGATACAAATGTATTCTTCTCACATAATGATTTGCATGTTTTGACAAACTCGATAATACTGAATTGGAAAAGTTTTCAGAATGGTTTAAGGCAAATAAGTTATCAATTAATTAATGTTTCTAAGTCTAAATATTTGATCTTTAAACCAAGACAAAAAAAAACTCTGGACTTATCCATAGAAGTGAACAACCATAAACTTGATAAGGCAAAAGAAGTCTTGTTCCTGGGTGTGATACTAGATGAACATTTATCTTGGAAAGCTCATATTTCGCATGTATAGCAAACAAAATTTCTAAATCTGTTGGAACAATATATAGAGTTTTGCCTTTTTAAATCATCTTTACGTACACTCTACTATTCTCTTGTTTATCCTTATCTTCAATACTGTATTACTGTTTGGGGATCAAAAATATCCTTCCAATCTTCATCGTCTTGTTCTACTTCAAAAACGTACCAGAATCATTAGCAAAGTAGCATATGATTCGCATACTGATCCAATATTTAAAGAATTACGATGTCTGAAATTTGATGATATTTATTTATTTCAATTAGGTATGTTTATGCTTAAGTATTCGAATAAATTACTACCTCAAACTTTTGATGACATATTTCTGCGAATTAACGAGATACATGAATATAGCACACGAAGGGCTGGAGAATTTTATGTACCTACATGTAGAACTAGATTGCGCCAATTTTCTATTAGCTATCAAGGCCCATTATTTTACAATGCTCTTAGTTTAGAGATTCGTGGAGCATCAACTCTCTCTTTGTTTAAAAAAAAATTAAAGTTATACTTATTTGCGCGTATACATTACTATTTGACGTCATATATAGGCAGCATATTTCTGTCTCTTTATATTTAGTTTTTTTCAATTAGTTTTCTTTATCTTTGCTTTACTATAATAGGACGCATACCACCCTCACCGGTATAACTATATACTTATTATTTAAATCAAGTCAATATTTGAGAGGAGCCCAAAGCATTAATAAGCCGTTTGGTTTCTATTTGGGCTTCTCGTCACTTGTGTGTATTGTATGTAGGTATATATGTATGTATGTATGTATGGTTTCTTGTGACAAATCATCGAAGTTCAGAAATCCTATATGGGGTCCATTTCTTAGAGACATGGTAAATATCTCCTTACGAGGACAATTCATTCACATATAGCTGCAATATTCAACCACTAAGCTTGAAACTTGTGCTCCCACTAAGCTTTGCGCGCTTAGAGTTAAGGTTTAGAGTTTAAGATTTTGCAAAGGACAGCCTTTTTTGAATTGGTTATATCCAAAATCGTCTTTCTGGCTGTTTATTTTGAGTAGATGTTTATTTTGAGTAGACCACTAATCGCCATCAAACAATTAATTGAAAACCATGCAGGTTTCAACTGTAAAAGCCACAAAGAACAGACCATTTAGATGTAGAAGTCAAATGTTAAATTATAAAATTTGAATATATCATAGCTCTCACTGTGCACGCAGTCATTAAAATTTTGAGTGTTGTTTCACTTTGCAGTAAATTCTAATCATATGATACAGTTAGTCAACAAAACTCAGAAATATTATTTGTCTTGTATAGGTTTTCACGATACAAAATTGTGTCAGCTATCTGCCACAAAAGAGCTTCGATACCTATAGTGTTGCTATCAATGGACAATGATCAGGAGTTGTAGCTAGTCCTGGAACAAGTGGAACCATGCGACTATAGTACAAATTAAAATACCCCAGTGCGTGAGAGGTGAGCTAGTAGTGAAAATAATCGTACAGAAAACTAAATTTCTGAGTCTCTGCATGATTCCTGTAAATTAGGTATCTTTCGTATCAGTGCTTTCTTTCACCCCTATCGCGACCAGGTTTGAACTGTAAAAACCGAAAATAACAGACCGATGTTATACAGTTATGTCGAAGTCAAACGTTTGAATATATGCATAAATATCAGAAGTCTCCCGCGATGCAATCATTGATGTTTTGGGTGTTTTTTTTTTACTTTGTCGCAAATTCTAATCAGAGTTAATTAACGGAACTCAGAAGTTGTATCAATCTGGTAGTTTTTCAAGAATTGTGTTGACTATAACTGCAATGAATGAGCTGCAATATACTTGTGGTGTTGTTTAGTAACTATAAATTTTCTCAGCTCTGTTTTTTTCTTTCATGATCATAATTATTTGTCAATGATCCAATGAGTGCAGCCCTGCGGTTCTAAAAAGGGAATGGAGCTGACTAGTAGAAATTAATAACTCTGTGCATGCGTAGGAGATCGATGAGCTCGTGGTCAATAAATATATTTCGAGGTACATGCAACTCAACAATCTGGCATGTATATAATATTTTATATATTCGCGACACAACAACATGCATATAAGAAACAAAATGGGGGCTAATTCATTTGTCACGTATTCATGCATTCATACACATACATTTCATGTCGCATTTTCATTGACATCATATATTTTTGCATCTTATAATAAATTAAAACTATATGTGTTACTTGCAGCCATGCAAGAACTACGAATACCTATATTACATCGATGCGAATGAAAAAATGTCGCACTGAACTGTGCACGCCTTATTTATCTTATAGATTTTCAAGATGCAAAAGTGTATCGACTATCTACCTCGAAAGAGCTTCAATACATACGGTGTTGTTCTTCTCACGTTATTCGGGTTGTTTGCTCTCGTAATTATAAGCATCTCGGGTTCTTTAGCCTTCGACACATCATTTCATTGTTTTGACAAGACTGTTTCAAAGACGAAGGAGGTATCTCTAATAAAGAACATCAACATAAAATGTTCCCTCGAGTATCAAGAGAAATTCCTCTTTATCCTACCTACGTATGCTATGTTCATCTTGAACTTTGGCATTGTCTTTGATTTGAGTATCGCGTGGTTGGCCTTCAATGACAGAGATTTTATGAATGACGAAGAATTTTGTACGGTGTACTTGTTGAGAAAACGAAAAAGAATTAGAAAGTTTTTGAACAAAATTCGAGAGAGATTCAATGGCGAGGAGGTATTTGGATTAACAGATGATTTTGGCGGTACTGAAATTTTCATGCGACCTCTTGAAGATATATATGTTAATGTTGTCATTCAAGAAGGGAGAGAACGCATGAACGCTTACCCGAGGGAATTTGAAAGGCATGAAATTTACCAATCCCATCTCGAAACCCCAAGGAAAGTTACTAAGCTTACGAGCACAGCTGATATATTTAAACCAACAAAAAGCAGAATGATGCAGTCATATCCGCGAACCATCCTTGTTATAGGCAGACCAGGAATTGGTAAGACCATGTTAACAAAGAAATTATTACATCAATGGAAAGGAAAAGAAGACGAGTTCTGGCATGGGAAAATTGTTATCTTGCTTCAATTTCGTACATTTAACAACATAACTGTTACTCTTCGAGAAATGTTTGGTTTTGCTAAAGGACTGTCATCAGATGACTTTGAAACTGTATATGATTTTATATTGTCCAACCCAACTAATATCGTTATTCTTTTTGATGGATTAGACGAACTAAATGTTGACAGCGTGATTTCGTGTACAAATAGAGAGACAGTTAATAGTCTGAATGACAAGATGCCGATGTTTTTAATTTTTAAAATGTTAGTTCATGGTAGACTGCTACGAGGTGTCACAATATTGACCACGTCACGGCCCACGGCACAGCATCTGTTTCGTGACCTAAACTTTGAAAGAACAGTTGAGGTCTTGGGTTTTTTCGAGGAGCAAATTAAGCAGTATGTTTTTAAATTTTGTGACAATGATAGTACCAGTAATTGGATTTGGAATCAAATTCAAGGATCAGCTGAAATGCGCAGCTTGTGTTATATACCTGTCAATAGTTATATTGTTTGTTTAACTTTAAAGGAAAGCATTGAAAATGATGGAAGTGGATTACAACTTCACGAGAGTTTAAACAACAAGAGTAGTCTAGGAACTATAACTGAACTGTACAAAAGAGCAGTAAAAGTCTTACTATATCGACACCATCCAAAATATAGGTCCCAACCAATACCAAGTGATTACCTCATCATCCCTTTTCCCAAAGAACTCGAAAAAGACTTGATGGAGCTAAAAGAAGTTGCAAAAACGGGAATTTGTGACGGCCAGTTGATTTTTGAACGAACAAGTAGAGATGAATTTGGAGACCTAGCCAATTGTGGCTTGTTTACCAAATTACCAGACAAACAACGGAACTTGTTTTGCTTTCTACATTTAACACTGCAGGAATTTCTTGCGGCAGCAAAGGTGGTTGACGATATGGACAAAGTTATACAATTTTTGGATAATCATGTTAAAGATCCCAAGTGGCATTTGGTGATACAGTTTGTCGCTGGCTTAGTTGGAGATAAAATTAGAGAAGATCCAAAAAAATATAAGAACCAAAAGGTGCTAGCTGATATTCAGAAAAGGTATTATATTTTCCGTATAGTATACTGCGTATTACTACAAATCTGAACGGAGCAAAGTCAGATTTTTAGTTTAGGCAGACTTCTTCTAGTCTGAGGCGAACCTAAAAACCGGGACCAAAAACCGGTGGCTTAATATTCGATCGATTCTTGTTTGTGGATTTGAGATGATATTTATGACATACTCGGATACTCCTAATTTATAAGTTATTTTTGCCTAACAATCTTCTCTTGAACAGTAAAATTGTCTGATGTTAGTACACAGAATAAAATACAGCAATGCGGATTGGGGCGCATCGTGATCACGTATGGCTAGGACTGCAGTATGTTCAAGAATAAAGGCGTTTTCTCTTTTTGAGTAAAATAATAAAGTTGTGAGCATTGTCGCGTACTGGGTTAAGTAGATGATGTCAATAGCCAACATTTCTCTTTTGAACATTAAAATAATTATTGCGACATATATGAGTAACGGGTCTATTAGTACATAAAGCAGACAAAATTAGCATATGCTATATGTTACGAGAGACACAAGCTTCTTTGAAATACCTTGAAATGCATGAGCAGAGTAACTGTTGTGATTTTTAAATTACAACAGTCATCTGCAGGGCCGCCAATAGGCTGCTCAGCGCAAAACTTTTCCAGGCAACCTATGACGTCATAATTGTAAAACAGGAGAAGCGGTATTTTACAATGTATTGTGCTTTATTGCATGTTATTTATTGAAAATAATTCAAGAGTTTTGATTGGTTAAGAGTTGTCGGTGAAATCGTCATATATCCGCTCGTATTGAAAATGTAACGTTTGACGTAATTTCGTGATATATTGAAGAAAAACAATGTAACACGCTATGACTTTCACGCTAACTTATGCGGCTTATGCTTTCGATATTATTGTTGTTCCATTTTCAGCAGCTTGGCATCTTCTTGATTCCGAAATATTTACAAATATATGATAAAACAATTATTGAATTCGGTTCTCGCAGGATGAGGAATTATTGAGGCCTCCGTTTGTGTTATCTGCCTCAGCCTTCAGCTTCGGAAGATAACACAAACCTCGGCCTTAATAATTCCTCATATCCTACTCAACCTCATTCAATAATTGTTTATTATTCGGCAGTGCTTGACGCAGCTAGGACTTATATTCTCGGTTAACAAAGCAATTTTGTATTAAGAAAATTTAAGGGGCCGGGCCAAAATGCCCCTGCTCTCGATGGCACTGCATAGCCATCATGAGAGCTGGGTGGCATGCTGAGAGCTGGGTGGAGGTGCACTGGAACCAATATTCTAAGTTCTGGGCAGAACAGGGTCTGGAAAAAAATCCGGCAGGAATCGCATTACCGCAATTGAATCTGTTTAACTGTTTATGATTATATGTTACTTCGTCCGCTGTCAATTTTAAAAAGTTGGAATATATGACTATTGTAGTATGTCTATGTAATTCAAATATTTGGTCGTCATTGAATAAACTTTATATTCTTTATCCTGATGAAGAAAGAGTTGCGGTTCATTTCTTTTTATCAGTCTGGCCGGAGCAGAAAACCTAAGAATAAGGGTTCTGGCCGGAACTAACCTCCCTAAACCAGGGGGGGGTCCTGAATTATTTTTAAGCCTTTGAATGCTCCAATACCAAGAGAGCAGCAGTATATGTATTGGCAACTAAAGTCTCATCCTGACCCATCAACGCAGTGCTTGGCTGAAATCAATCCTGCTCTGAGTGCATGCAGCTAGGGTTAATGAGTAAATAGTCTGGTTAACACCAAGCACTTTCGACTTAATTAGGGAAAGTACATTTATTTCACCGAGGGAGGGGGATGAAGATGTCTTGAAAAAAGCTCATATTTTTACAGGGCCCCTGTTGAGGTTATCGGTAAATTTTGATGCCCCCCCTCCAAGTTTTTAAAATTTTCAATGCCCCCCCTCTAGAATTCGGAATCGAAGGAGTACAATCCAGAATTCTCTCTTATCATAGATACAATTTGCAGTTCCTCAAGATGTCTGATATACTCAAGTGCTTCTCCTCAACAAAACTACCGATCTGCTGCTTCTTTCATCTCACTAGCGCCAGATGAAATGGCACCGTCTTTAAAACATTTTAAATTGGCTCTAGGGGTGGAATTATCAACAAGTTGTTGTTGTCCATCATTCAGCATATTCGGAGTCTTGAACACGTTCATGTAGTGGCCAGGATTTCCTGGATCAGGGTAATGTGCTGGAACCTTACAGTATGTTGCCCCCACCCAACGTATCTCCCGGCATCTGTTGCAAATGTCTTTGCATGCCTGTCAAAAATGCATGCAAAAGTGCCAGTATGCTTCAATTTCTTTAATTTCCATCCCGTTTGTACGAAATATCCTATAAACATAGAACATATAATTCTTGCAAATTGTATATGCTTTTTTGCTTTCTGGCGCGTAAATTACTTCACAAACCTGGCGCAAAAAAATTAAAATAAGCTATAAGTGATTTCATGTATCCATTTAGAAGGGCAGACTAAGGATATCTTAAAACTGAAATCTGTTTCGAATACAACCATCAGGGACGTAGCAAAGCATCTGACATTTGTGGTTGGGGGGATGTTAGAGGATTATACGTGTAATAATTATAATAAACCTTTTTGTGATTGATTGGCACTCTTATACTAAGTTTTGGGAAAAAAGGGGG